TTTTTATATACTTTCAATCACTATCAGATGCATTCATTTATTAAAATCTTAGTCATCATGAAATGAAGGTGGTTGAAGATATATGTTCTCACCAAAAAGTTTTTTCATGGGAACCTAACCTTAGATAGATAGATAGAGGGAGAGAGGTTCATTTAGAAACCTTAAATATTTTAAGAACCAAGGAATCACTCTTTTTGAGAGCATTCATGATGAATAATGTGATATTATATTCATGATGAAGGTCGTGAAAGATATTCATCACTACAACAAAATCGGGTTTATAGAAAGCCGGAAAAATTTAAGCGTCCTAATAGACCGTTTTATAGGACTTAATTTATAAGAAAAAAATAAAGCGTCATATCTAAAGTAGTAATAAGTTTATAAGACGTTTTTGGGCGTATTAACAAGTTTTTTAGAACACTTTTAATACAAAACGTCCTAATAACAATTTTATAGGACTCTATTTGAAAAAGTGTCATATAAAAACAAGTGTCCTATAAAAATATGAGTTTATACAACACTTTATAAAAAATGTCCTATAGAATTATTAATGTGACATTTTGTATTAAAAATGTTCCAAATTTTTTTATGACGCCCGGAAGCGTCTTATTAACTTATTACAACGCCTTTAGACAGATAACTTTATATCTTGATTCTAAAAATTAAGTCCTATAAAATGGTCTATTAGGACGCTTAGAAATTGGTGACGTCCTATAAATTTAATTTTGTTGAAATGCATGATGAATAATATTCATCATGAATGCCCACAAAGTAGGTGGTTCCTACATTCCTAAAAGGGGTTTTCTAACCCCACCCCCTCCTACACTAGGGATGGTAATGGGGCGGGGATGGGGCGGGGACCCCAATACTCATCCCCGTCCCCGATCCCCGTATGTGTCCCCGTCCCCGTCCCCGTCCCCACCGGGGATTATGATCACATCTCCATCTCCGTCCCCAACGGGGAACGGGGATCCCCAACGGGGAAACGGAGATTTTTTTTAAAAACCAAAAATAATAAAACATCACTATTTATTGAAATACACCATAGTGCTCGACAATAGAAAGCGGATAATCATGTATAATAATCATCTTAGCTAAGTCTTCCCTATGATAATCATGTATAGAAACCGGTTGTTACTTGTTCCTTGTTTCCTTCCATCTCATTCTTATCACCATGTATATTCTCGTTATCCGAAGTTTCCATCTAAAATTAAAAAGTTTGTATATGATAATGACATAATATGAATGAAAAAACCATTAATGAGAATCTATAATAAACTTACAAAATACAAACTTAAAAGCATAAAAAATTAATGAAAGATACTCAGTATGTATGTATACCTAATTTGTTTAAATAAATTGACCAACCACAATAATATATCAATTTGGTCCACATTAGTTCACAAATCAAGAAGGCAAGTAGGTAAATAGGTAAGGTAAACCAATAATATAACAAGATTACAAGAAGTGAAGACGAAGAATACAGGACGTAACACACCAGGGAGAGGCCGAGAGGGAGAGCCGAAGAGGGAGTAGGGTTGTCGCCGAGGGTTGTCGCCGTCGGCCTGTCACCGTCGTCGTGGGCCTGTGGCCGTGAGCTTGTCGCCGTCGCCGTGGGCCTGTCGCCGTGAGCCTGTCGCCTGTCGTCGTCGCCGTGGGCCTGTCACCATCGCCGTCGCCTGTCGGGAGAGAGCAGTGCAGCACCGTGCGTGGAGCGGTGGAGGTCCTGGAGGAAAGAGCAGCAACGTCGTGCGTGGTTTGGAGGTCCTGGAGGAGAAATGGAGAATCGGGAGATATCAAAGCCGATTAGGATTTAGGAGAAAATTGTGTGGAGTGTGGACTAGGCTGGAGGAAGGGATGCATTCATTAACATTTTACAGCCCAAAGCCCAAATTTTTATAAAACATATATATATAAAACGAGTACGGGGCGGGGCRGGGAGTGCTATACCCGTCCCCGGCCCCATCCCCGGATTGCTTCAAGCGGGGATCCCCGTCCCCGGGACCCGATTTTTCGGGGAATCCCCGTCCCCGATCGGGGCGGGTGGACCGGGTTATCCGACGGGTCGGGGTCCATTACCATCCCTATCTTACACTCTTCCCCCTACATTTTCTATACCCCCTCCTATATATTATTTTTCAGTTTTAACCTTTTGATATTTTCAGTTTTGACCCTTCAACTTTTATAATATTTTGTTATTATATTTTTTATGTTTTTAATTTTTAATATAGATTATAATAATATAAATTAATTAACTTTATATTATTATTAATTAATAAAGTATT